AAGGTATTTTGAGGAGACATTTAGATCAATTAAGAATTATAAACTGTTTTAACATACTTATTAATTATGACTCTAAGGATTCTTTTAAGGAGGGAAGTGTGGACAAAAATATAAAAATTACTGATAAAAATGATATAACACCGATTTCTAGACCAATGCGAATTAAACAAAAACCTGCTTATTTAAAAGACTACATAACTTAAAATATAAAAATAAAATAAATATTAAAATTCATAAAGTAAATTAAATATTAAAACGCTTACACTAAAACGCAAAAAATGAAAACGCTGAAAATATTATATAACAATCTTATTGATTTATCATTCTTCATTTATTCTTATATCCAACTTGATGAACTATTATTTCTCATTATTCGCAACTTACTGATGATAATAACAATTTTGAAAAATGATAATAATAACGACTGAGTACTATCAAGCAAGCTACATGACAAAATCTCGATTTATAAAGACAACTTACGATAAGGATATCAAGCTTACGATTTTAACAAACCAACGTGCAAAATCGATTTAAACAAACCAACGATTAGGACAAGCCAGCGATTACTATGACTTATGAAACAACTTGATGGTCAAAACGTTAAAACATTTGGACAACAAACTAACTATGACATCACAATTAAACTTATGAAAAGGCTTCTTTAGAAGAAGGAGAATGTTGAATAATATATTTTAGTTTTACAAATTGTAACCTTTATTTTAGTCGTAACTTATATTTTAGTTTATTTTAAGATTATATTTTCATTTTAGTTTTATTTATTCAAATATTACTTTTGTCAAAAAAATATAAATAAGTTGTAAAAAAGTATAATAAAACAGATAATAAAAATATTTTCATCTTCTCTACATATGGCTTATATTTTTAAGCCACTGAAAACATCGAAAACCAGTAACTGTTCATTCGAACAACCAATAGGGGATCATCTCCCCAATTACCATGAGGTTGTATAACATAAAAGTTTGTCTTTACAAAAAAAGCAATTAAATAGTTGTTTATCTTAATTTTGTAAGGCTAAACAATGTTTAACACAATGAGGGGGAAATTAAAATTTAATAGATAAAAAAAACAGACTAATTAAAATATTATAAACACAACACTCCTCCCTCGCTAGAATCGGGGGGAAGAGAAAGGGGTTCGGCTGAGAGTGATAAGGGAATATTTCCCCACGGATTGGTTATAGCCATCAGATAGGCAAATTTATTAATATATAAATATATTTCTTTAACTTTAAAAAAAAATATTCTATAAATAAAAAATATTGCTGTATGCTTCTTGCAAAAATTTTATTTAAAAAATTTAAACCCGACCCAAATTTTTTTTAAGAAATATTAGGCTAGCCTAAATTCGCGCTTAAATTAATATTTAAAAATAGGCCTGAACCGGCCCTGGTACGAGCCGGGATCTCTAGTTTGTCATTCCTAACCTTCTTTATTTTTACTTTTTTCCTTTGGAGAAACTTCAGGGGAAAATATTTTTATTATTAGTGTGCATATTGGTATGCTAAAAAAAAAAGCAAACTTTATTTTTTAATAATTGCCACTTCAATTTATTAAAAGCCTCTGTTCATTAAACCCTTAAGTTCTCTAGTGGGGTTTATAACCCCAGGCATGCTAGAATTTATATAATATAAATTAGTGATCTGCATCGGACTTAATTTTTCAAGCCCTGCCCGAAATATTTTTTAAAAAAGTTTTGCCGGCCCGCCCCGAACCCGAAATTTTTTTAAAAAATTTACCGACCCGGCCCGAATTTATTTAAATATAGAAATTCATTTTTATAAATACTCAAACATTTTTATAAATACTCAAACATTTTTATAATTACTCAAAATAAAAGACATATGTTATATGTCGTTTAGTTTCAATAAATAAAATCAAATATTTTTTTACATAAAATATTCAATATAAAATTGATAAATTTATATATTTAAAAAATTTCCAAAGTCCGACCCGACCCTAATTTTTTTTAAATATTAGGCCCGGCCCAGCCCGAACTCGATTATTTAAAATAGAATTAGTGTCAAGGTTTGTTCCTTATTCCTCACACTTCGACTCTTCCTAGTCCTCCTTCCCAGGGCTATACTACACACCCATATACATAATATGATCAACGCTCCCACAATATTATATTGAACCTCCCAATATCTTATAAATTTTAAAACTTTTCATTTTTACATAAAAATTCACTATTACCTTTAAAATAAATATCTTGATGATTTGTATTGTTAACAGATAAGATAGAATTAATAATGTAAACACCTCAATAATACACATACACATAAACTCAACTCAAATTATAATCAGTTTTAGAAAAATTTGTTTAAATCCACCTCCCTAACAATTATACAATACTAATTAATCAAAAATATTCCTAGTAAAATTCAAATTTTACGCCATTCTTATCAACACTATTCCTCGTATATTTTATTTATATTTAACGTTCTCTATATTATTCAACTATAATTTTTCAGCAATACTTGTATATTTTATTCACATTTAATGTTTTCAATATTATCCAACTCAAATTTAACAGAACTGTTCGGTTTTGTTACTGCACCAATATTCTAATTCATTTTAAAATCGATTGTTAATTTTGTTAACTTATAATTTCACACTAACCTTATATATCATATAACTCATGTTTAAATATCAATATTTTACTCACACCTTAATATATTTATATACAACTCTTTTCTTAATGAATTTTTCTTTTATTTTTTTGTTAAATATATTTTCGATCTGTATACATATAATTAGATAGTAATAAACAATGAGTGACGATCTTAACAGCTTGCTGACGAGGGCAATCATAATAAGTACAATTTTGACGGCTTTGAGGCACATGCCGACTTTCCAGATTATAAAGGTTCATTTTAGGGGGGGGGCAAGCAGCTGGAATGGAGACAGTGTTGACAAATGCTGAGAAGCTTGCAGTGCTGCACATAGAAATTAATGGGAAGACGACTGCCAAGCTCAGAACTGTAGCAAGGAAGAAAACGGTTGTTGCAATCTATGATCTGATAAATGGAGAGGCATACACTTCATTAACTGATGATGGAAGGTTGATTGCAATTGGATCAGTGTTTGTTTTATTTGTGGCCTCATTTGCTACAAGTCCAGAGTTTACTCCTGATATTGATTGGAGAGTAGCCGTGCGAGTGAAGATGAACAATTACACATCGGGGCAGTTGGATGTAATAAAGGTAGCAATTGTGGAAAGATACTTGAAGCTATGTCTAGTCCTGATCAGTGCAGCTAAAGTATATTGGTTCAAGGAGGACCATGGTCAGGGAGCCAGCGTCTACATGACACGATTTTCACTGGATGCAAAGCCCCTTCAAAAACCTGTGCTTACCCCCCTTAAAATTCTCGCCGCCTTCGGCGGCGGTGTCTTTCTATTATTATTTTCACCCTTTTGATTTATTGATACACTTTTCAGAGAATTAATAAAGGATAACTTAAATTAATCTATCTCTACTGCCAACTATCGATATTTTGTGAATATAAAGAATTTATTTTTTAGATAATAAATTCAATTAAAACCTCCATTATTTACAATGAATTAATTATTATGGCATTATGAGCTTGCTAAAATATCTAAACCTTTTAAATTACATTACAAAGGATAGCAGAAAGTTTTATTTGGAAAACAATGTGTATGATTGTTTGCAATATATAGATTTGGTCGATGAATTGTATTATAATAATTTTCTATAATAAAAGTATTAATTTTTACAGCAATAAATTTTGTCCTATTTGATCTCAAAATTTAATAGATAACCCCCAAAAAAATTTATCATACCCCCATTAAAGCAGCCTACCCCCTCAAAAGAATAAGATGCAAACTGTTCCTACCCCTCCCGCTCATGTAGACGCTGCAGGGAGCTACGGCTAGTTATATTAGGAAAGTGATGAGAGGTAAGTTTGGGGAAAACTATGACCCTAAGCTGATTGGTGTAGTAGATAGGGTTTTACATTGGGCATCAACCAGAACTGTACTGCCGGGGCTTAAGATGTAGTAGGTGCGGAGATTATTATTAGAATGTCAGAAGGAGCGGGCATAAAGGTAACAGCAGATTAAAACCTCAGGATAAACAGCAATCCTGCAGGAACTGCTCAATTTGTAGCAGAAGCTTTCTTCAAGAGAATGGTGAGATCACAATTATCATGCCTAATATAGAGGAATTGCATTTTACCATGTGAGTATAACTATTTATGCGAGGGAGTTGCAGGTTATAAAGGCAGGATGATTTTTGATGATAACCTGGAAAATATGTTTATAGGAAAAACGGGAACATATGGGGAGATAGTTATGAAAAACAATAATTTGATGAAATCCGCCATTGCAAAGTTAATCTGTATAAAGCCACCGCTGACTACGATATTATGCAAAGAAACTTAGAAGTTATATTGGATGCAAGCAGACAGTTTGCTATGGAGAGACCTATCACTAAACAGTCACCAGCGTACCAGAGAATAGCAATGAAATATGGGATTATTCCAAATGATGAAATTGTTCGGCTGATGGAGGAAGCTGAAGTTAAAGATGGAGAGGCAGCTACCGAATACTCCTAATTTTAATAGGGATCCTACTAGTAATATGGATCCTGATAAATTGAAATGTACTGGATGTGGGAAATTTAGTCATAATAAAGAGGAATATAGTGTAGGTAAATATAATGCAAAGGTGCTTCTCGACAAAGGAGAATAGATCAAAATATTTACAATAAAGAAATAATTATGTCTAATTTTAAGGAAGAAAATGGAAAGTATAATGCGGTGTTTTAAGTTCGGAAAAAGGATATGTAGCGAGAGATTGTATGAGTTGGTGACAATTCGATGGTAGAGAATGCAATGAGAAAGGGAATGTGGCAGATGAAAGGGTTGAGAAAGTGATTTAAAAAAAATAAAATGTGTAAATTAAATATGATACAGGAAGAATTTATCTTTATTATTATATATATATATATATACAAATTATTAACAATTGGTATTTTGTTCGAATTGCTTTTCTTGTTCTATAATCCTCTTTAATTTGCCCTTTTGTTTGTGCTTATTGAATATTTTTGATAAATTCCTAAATAATATATACAAAAAAAAATAAAGTTAGATATAAATAAAGCCTAAAAATTTATTATACTTTTATAAATTCGTAAAGAAAGATCCAATCAATTTTGCCTAAAATCTTAGTTATTTCTATGGCAGTGTTGATCAACAAATTTTTTAATAACCCAATCTAATATGGACCGATATTCAATCGATTCAATCATTCTTTCAATATTTATTAACCCTTTACTAGATACTGGTGCCAATCAGCAACGTACAAATTTTTGTTAAATTCAAGCGATAAAATATCTTATAATTCCTCTTGTATTTCAAGAAACTTTCCCTCTAATAGTGCTGTTTTTAACTTGTTAGTGAGTAATTTAAAAAGAAGTATTATAATGCGCACAAATTGGGAGTTTCAAATGCTTCATTGCAAACGCAAATAATGGATTTTAAATGGCATCATTGGTAAAATTACCGTTTGTAATAACAGTCATTTAAAAAAGCGCAATAAAGTCTGCTTTTTTATTCTTCATTTTGTAATGTTATATAAAATTGGGAAAAATAACCTACTTATAGCTTAAAATGAAATATTTAGAAAAATAAATAAAAAATATATACGATAATATAATTTTCAAAAATCCTTTTTTAGAATTTACAAATTTTGAACCGACGATATTAATAAAAAGGCAACTTATTTAAACTAGAAACCTGCAGGCTCGGCTCGGGTACATTGGTTGGGCATATTTTAATTTTTTAAATATACCGGGGCCTGATTTTTTTTTAAATATCCGAGTCAGGCCGTATATTTTAAAACTAAATTTTTTAAATGGCCAGCTATAAAAAGTAAAAATATTATACATTTTTTTAAAAAATCCGAACCTGGCTTGAAAATACAAAACCCGGGATGGGCCGAAAAAATTTTTGAAAAAAAATCCGGGCCTGACAGTGCAAATGGTATCTCTACAGGTCTCTGATTTAAACAAAGGGATGCATTACGTTTTTTTAAATTAAAAAATTATGGCAAAACGTAAATGCTTATGTGTGCACTCATGAGATATTATCTTCAAGGCTATTTTTTTAAAGTTTATTATTTACATTAACATATTTCAGATTTTAATTTTAAAAGTCTATTATTTTACAATAATTGTAACTTCAAAAAAGTCAAAAATTATAATTTTATTAAATTAAACATACAAAAGTAAAAACGTAAAGAAGAAATATATCCATAATAATAACATAGTAATGGGATTTGGAATCAATCTTAAATCTTTAAATTAATAAAAAATCTGATTTGACTCGAAATTTTCACCATATATTGAGTACTCAGGGTATTTGAACTACTTTTAATTATTTTTCATATAAAATATAAAATACTCAAAGATTAATGATGAAATTGTCTGGCATTCACAAGATAAGTTCTACATGCTGGTATACAATTACCAAATTAGATTATTTAAATTAAAATATCAGCATAGCAAATGATTTATAACTATTTTATCCAGAATTATTATTAATTTCATATCTCAAAAAACATATATGCTCTCTTTTTCTTTATTTACAAGTAATGAATTTTTTTTATTAATATAACAGAAACAAGGTTTTATTTTTTGAAATGTATTTAAACTTAATCATTTGTTACTTTTAAGATATAGTATAAATTTATTGAAGGGATAATTATGTGATGGAGATACCAGTGTTTCTGATGTGCCACCACCTACTAATAATTACTCAATAATTGTTACCTAGAATGCCTCGTTTTCAGAGGGGATATGCAACTTAGCTGATGTAATAGAATTTCAAACCCATATTTTTTGGACAATTAGTTTTCATATAAACCATTAACAAATGTAAGTTGCTGATCAACTGGAAAGACCTGAGTAAATGAAGGAACATAAAAGATTTAATATATATTGCAAAGGATGTATTAATATTAGCTGCATAAACTATCAGTACATTGGGTTTTGAAGGGTTTTTGTGGGAGGAAATTTTTTTAGAAACAATACAACTAAATTTACCTTCTACCTCAGAAGTATTTATTTTAACTCTCTACCATTCTGTGAGTCCACACCTACTCTGAAAGTCAAATCATCTAATTAGTCTATAATTTTACAATACATTATAATGTGATGGGATTTACATAAAATATTTTATATGTAATGCCAAATTTTTAAATAATTTTTTAAAACATTACAAATAAATTAAATTTTAGTTTTCTTCACTCATTTATTCTTATTAGAAAATTATTTTAACAAATATTATATAATTATAACTACAATAAGTTGCCAAAAACAAAGTATATATGGTTGGATTAGTTTTGTTTTTAAATATTGACCCAATCCATTTTTTTAAAAAAATAGTAAGCCAAGCCCTTATTTAATAAATAATTATGTTAAAAGTAGATATTTATTTGATTAATTTAATATAGCATAGAAATTTAAGCAATATAATATTGTATATTAAAGTTTACCTATCATTCTCTTTCGCATCATGCTTGAGTTTTTGTTTCTTGAGTTTAGGTTTTAAATTTAAATGATCATCTGATTTATTATTATCCTTTTTAAAATATATCAATAATAAATAATAATTGCCATTACAATGAAAAATGATTAATAGAAAAAAATTAAATATTACTTTACATGGATTAACATTATCTGCAGCTTTATTGTAGAGTGTTTCCCACCAACGATTGGAAAACTCTAATGAACGATCAAAACCAATCTATATTTTAAGGGAAATAAAGAAATGGTTATAAATAAATAACTCCATCATTATCTTTTTTTATAGAAATTTTTAAGGGCTCCTTAATTCCATCTTTATTTTTACCTAATCCATCACCTGTAAATATTTAAATTTAAGCTAGTTATTGATTATAAACCTGTATTCCATCCATATTTTTCTAAAAGCTTCTTCGCGAATTGGGTTTTCATTTAAAAAATATTGTGCATTTTTTTATTCTAACAGCAGATGTTAGAAAATAATCTAAATGTTGACAATAAGCTCTATTTATATAAGTAAAACATTAGCAATCAAAATTCTAGCAATTTGATGCAGGATTGGTAATATTAATTCCTATCAGAAATTTGTTAATTATGATAATGAAATTAAAATCATAAATAAAAGATACAAATCTAGCAACTGTCTATGTTGTGTCATTTACTTCAAATTCTACAAATTAAATAATTTATTTGAGACATGTGGGAAATTATGAAAATTTTACAATGGTATCTATCGATACGATATATATAAAATATATTTATTTATTCTATAGCAGATTAAGTTTTACACCTTTACATCGTTTATCCTTTCATAATTTTCCTGTATACTGTAAAAAAGTAACTTATTTTGATAAAAAAATGTATACATGAATTTAGAGTCTGTTAGAAAAATTTGATAAACCATCTGAGAATTGGCTCAATTATAATAAGGTAATTTACCCACCGCAAAAAGAAGGAGAGCTGCCAAGACCGGCAGTATAAAAAATATATTTTCTTATATATATATTTATATAAATAATTAGGAAATATTTCATGAAAGGCGAAATATAAAATATAGCAAAGATAAATTATGGTACCAGGCAATAATTGTAAAGATTATTATTTATTGTTATGACTAATTTATAACATATTTTTTAATACAATAATTTAACTAGGTAGTAATATCCTAATTAACTAAACAAATCTTTATTCATTCATAATCATTTCGGAAATTTTATAAAATGTGTTTCATCACACCTGATGCAGTTGGAGTGTGCATCATGTATTTTCACAAAAATGCATCATTTATTTAATATTTGTGTTGTAATATACAAATTTTAATAAGTTATAACCCGAATTGTTAAATAATTTTATTATCATCCCAAACCATATGGCTAACTCATATTTCAGAGCACAATTGTAAAACATGTTGAAGTAGCAATGATTGATTCTTTGATCCTACCTATAAGAACTAAGAAACTGAACCCTTTTTGAAAATTTAGATGAAATCATTTTTATTTCATTTTAATTTGTAACACGATTTTTGCAAAATTTAATTTATAAACAATATAATAATTATATTACCCCTTTATTGCATCACATACCAATAAATGACATAATTAAAAAAAATAATTTATTTTCATCTTTACATTTCTAACAAAATTAAAACATTTTTAGAATGTATATTAGAGATCTGCAAAGTTAGGCATGGCTCGAGTCCGGCCTAGGCTTGGGCCTAATTCTATTTAAAATAATCGGGTTTGGGCCAGACAGGGCCTAATATTTTAAAAAAAATTTGGGCCAGGTCGGATAGGACCTTGGAAATTTTATTAAATATATATAAATTTATCAATTTTATATTGAATTTTTTATGTAAAATAAAAATTTTTGATTTAATTTATTGAAACTAAATGCTATATAACATGTCTTTTATTTTAAGTAATTATAAATAATTTATATATTTAAATAAATTTGGGCCTTTTGGGCCGGGCCGTCCAAACTTTTTATAAAAATTTTGGGTTTGGGCTGGGTCTGCAAAACTTTTTTAAAAAATTTCGGACTGGGCCGGGCTTGAAAAATTAGTACGTACTCATTTTTTTAAATTTCAAATAAAAAAAATTATATAATTTTATTATTTGATAAAAGCCATATTATATTATAAATTTTTATTTTATAAAATTGTTTTTTGATGCAAAACTTAATGCTACCCAATATGCATTTGACGAGTTTGCCAATATTTGACTAGTTAAATTTGAATAAATGTTTTTTAAGACAATATTAACTTTATTTTATATATAATAGTAAAAAATTAATTTGGGCAGTGCTGATCTACATATTTTTCACCAATCCGATATTGGTTTGAACCCAATCCGATACAGATATTTATACTGATTTTTCATTTTCACCACCCCCCTTTAAACCAAATGTAATTAAGAAATCAATATTTTTTATGCAAAAAATCGAATTAATGAATCCTTCATTTTTCCTCCTCGTGAAATTTGAATTCCGCAGATAACGCATTTTACAAAATTATCTTTGTCTTGTAAAATATTTCCATAATTCAGATACCATATTAAAAAAAATTCTGTGTTATTCTTTAAGAAAATTTAAAATAAATAAAACTTTGGATGTACTTTTTTATTTTTATATAAAAACTTTTAAAATACTATAATTTAAAAGAATAATAGGGGGTGTGCATTTGCATTGTTTAAAAAAATTATTTAGAAAATATTATAATAATATAATATAAATATACATAACAAAAAAAGATTGGATTGGTTTTTTACAGGTATCGGCCCGATCTGATATTTTTGGAAAACACTAAATATTGGTGCAGATCTGATCCGATATTTAATATCGACACAGCCCTAAAATTAATATATGTAATATTAATTTATATTTATCTAAATTCTATAATTAATGTTTCGCTATCTATTGCAGAATCTTTTTCTAATTAATATTATCATATTCTTTAATATTTTAAGGAATTGTTAGTAAGAGATTAGACACTTCTCTTAATGTTCAAGGTGGACAAAGTCCATTCCAACAATACTTTTTTGATCAATTGGCCAAATTTGACAAACTTGCTAGCCCAGATATTTTGTACAAATCACTTTAGTAATAAATTTACATCATACATTTTTACTATTATTTAGGCCAATGAGTGATTATATCATTTTTCATTTCCTTCTATGAGATAAAAGATGTCGACTCCTTTGGCATATTTTCCTATATATATCTCGTTTAAACTGATTTAATATCTATATTGCATTTGCAAAGTACTTCTGCTATGGGAATTTAAATTTTAGCACTTCATAATCCTGTCTGTACAATAATTATTTTCTGGTTACAATTTTAAAAGAATTGATAGAATAGTCAGAATTACTTCATCATGTTCCAACATGCTGGCCTAAGTTAATCCCAGCAAATGAATGGATATTTAAATATTACCAATTACTTAAAAAGTATTTTTTTTTATCAGCAACAATAACCTCACTAAAGATATTTTCGAGGATTATTTGCAGAGGCATATTTTGACTTTGTTCTTAGCGTTGGCATTTTGATATAAAACTTAAATTTACAACTACAATCTAAGGATATTTTAGCTATATATATGCTCTTATCAAAAAATTTAAGTATCCTCAACATTTTACAACATAAAAATGATGAAGAAAAGGCTTTGAATTTCAAAAATGAATCAAAGATGTTTGTAAAAAACATTATAGACTAAGAAAAACGGTATAATAAATAAATACATATATATGACATTAGAAAATTGTCCAGCATTTGATGAATTTCGCAAAATTATTATTAATTATAAAATACCAAATATAGATTCAGATAATCTCTTTAAGAAATATTTACATTTTTATTTCAATAATAAAGGCAAATTATCTATAAACAATCACTTGAATGCACAGGAGTTCCTTTTAAATTATAACTCCAATTAATAGAGAAAATATGTAATTATTCTCATACTTGGCGAAAAAAATTTAACAGATATCTACATTGGAAGCTGAACTTTGGGAAATATATCATCTATGAAATATAATAATTAATATTATACTTTGTTTATAATGGGAAAATGATACATCATAATCATTGCTAATAGTAAATCAATGAAAAATATTAAATTTGAAATTGTCTTATTAATCATGATGCATTAAATATAACATATTATTAAATAAGATGAGCATGTTTTATCAAATTGATGAATCCGGCTAAAATTGAGGAATGTATGGGGAGGGGGGCTTATAAAAAAAGGAAAAACACATATTTGAGTGAAAAATACCCTGTGTACAATATATGAAAGGCATGCATTGATACCATTTGTATGATCTAGAGTGGATATCATATATTTCATCCAATAATTTTATCCCTCAATTCTTCCTCGCTGTTTGCCATCAAAGCAAGGTCATCCGCATATAATAGACCATTGAAGTCCTTCACACATATCTTCAGCTATCACATCCATTACTAAGATAAATAATAATGGATTCCGTATCCCAGGTGAAGTCCTACCTTCGCTTCAAAGCTTTCACTATCATCATCATCCATCCATACCAAAGTATGTTACCAAATACATTGCCATCACTGCAATTAGTCATTCTTCCACACTTGATTTTCTCGAGGCCCATCTAGTAACTTCACTCGGCAACTTGTAAAACACCTTATCTAATTCATTAAACGCATAATATAGTTTCTTTTCATTTGCAAATTATTTATCCTGTATTTGTCTCACCACAAAAATTGCCGTTGTGCCTTCCCCAGTGTAAAACCAAACTACATTTCGTAGATTTCCTTCACCTCTCTAGCACTCACAAATACCTTCATTCCAAGAGTTTAAAAGCAGTTTAATAGCTTTATATGACCCATAATTAAGTAAATTTATTTATATTAAAGCAATATATTCAGTATCATTAGATCAGATTAAAAACCTGTACATATTTTTATAAAAGTGGTAATTTTCAAGTTGATTTACTCCTTATCTTCTTAAAACCTCGTTTTAAGTAAAAACTTAATATAATATCAATTACTTTAACTTGTTACAGAAAGGATTTTCAAATCTATAATGTATCAGAAAGCTCATACTCAATAATTCTCAAGATGAAAAATTGAGATATTCACAAACAAAAAAGATGAAAATATATCAAAAAGTTGGGAACAAATAATTGGTTAAGACTGTAAAATGTAGTATTATGGATTACGCTTTTCAATAAGCAATAGTGCAGGGTATGATTTAATCCAAGCTTATGATATCTAACAAACATAAGCTGGCAAATGAACAAACTGGAACCAATTCTTCTATATCATCATACATAACCAAATATAATAAGAATGAAACCTTGTGTGTTATTGCTGAAGTACCATTCATATATCATTCCATAAAACATTCCTACAGCTATATGGCTGATTGTTTGGGCAAGCTAATTACACACTTTTTTTCAGATCTAAAATTTCATCTATATCTTCATGTAAGTGAACAAAATGCTTTAAAATAATAAAAATTATTTGAGCACCAGAAGCAAGGTCAATCTAAAAACCACCCGTATTTAATACCAACAGATGCATCGAATAAAAGTAATACAAAAACATGTCCTTATCACTTAGATACTTCATCAAAAATAACTGAATAAAAATATTTTTCCTATCAAACTTCTAAAGATAATCTCCTAGAAAATTTAAGAACAGCTGGATTTGATATTGCCAATGTTATGGTTTATGTACCGATAATGCGTAAAAAAAAGCATTTGGACCTAAATCAAAGTCATATTTAATATTATACCGATAGGCTGCATATGCCACATTAGAAGCCTAAATTGAAGCGAGGTCAGGTGAATTTTAAATTTTTTTTAGGCAAAATGAGCAAAATAGACTTCAATTTCATAACAGTTTTATTTCATAATATTGCATATTATATATGTTTAATTAAAATAAATAAAGAACCAAACCAGCCATTTAAATATTTTTAAACATTCGGCTTAAAATTTTTTTATAGACATATGGTTTGGCGAATAAATTTTTTGAATTATAAGTGGGCAGGCGGGCTAAAGAGTGGTCGGGCCTTTTGGTTAAAATCCGCCCTTTGCAGACCTTTATACCACATACTTCATAATGCATGTAAAAAGGCCATAATTTATATCAAATAAAACTTCGAGAGTATAGTAATTAAATGCTATAATCAATTTAGCAATAAGCAAGGTTTTGAGGCGAGGCTCCCTATAAATTATTATGAAAGACAAACTCACTTTTTTGAGTGAAAAATATCTGGCAACTTCGAACAGATACAATTTTCTAGGAAGAAATAATTAAATTAAATATACTAACGTATTTGTGTACACCTAAATATATTAGAATAGTGTCTTGATTCTTTACATCACAATACATCAATATAACTTTTATTGTGTTTTATTTTATAGATAAGAGGTATGTCAATTGACGAGGCTATTAAGCAATTAACATTTTTACCTTATTATGGGGCCAAAGTAATTAGAGAAGTAAAAATAATAAATTTAAATCGTGCAAATATGTTCTTTATTCTGTATATTCATATGCAATTTAATATATCATTTCAATTAAATAGGTTTTGCTCGAAGCTCAAAATTTAGCCGTTAAACAACAAAACGTGGAATTTAAATCGAATTTATGGGTTGGTAAGTAATTTTAATTTTTCAAAACAAAAATTTATATAACTAACGTAGGCGGTTTAGAGGATCTGAGGTTTTTTTTAAGAAGAAAATTATTAAAATCATTTATTATTCCCATTTTTAAAAAAATTTGGGGCAAACCTGATTTGACCGAAATCTTGTTCCAACATGTATAGAGTATATGGCAAAATTGCCTGAAATACAGAGGGGTAGGAATTATCCCTTCCTGATGAAATAAACCCTGGTCATGAAATATTGCCCTGAATTTTCTAAAGCGCCAACGATATATATTTGTTTTTCTTAATTTTTTTTTACAAAATAAGCGGAATCTTTTACATCCAAGGGAGTAACTATTAAAGGTATCAGAAGACATGCGAAGGGTAAAATCTCATTGGTTAAATACGGTTATTGCCATTACTTCGTGAGACTCATAGAAGGCCAGCCTCCTGCAAAATATTATCCCACTCCCAAAATTGGATTTGAACAGATTAAGGAATACATTGAAAAGGGCAGAGAAAGGATGATCGAATATGGATTATAAAATTAGGGAAATTATTACGATAAATATAAATGATGCGATGATTATTTGATCAGAATAAAATTGTATATATTTGTTTAATCATGTTATTATATCATTGCTTCTGGGTTTGTTGTGATTACGATAGCCATAAAGGAAAGTAAGGACCAATTGGAAGTGACAAGTGATTTATTTTTCCAATTTTCTGACCAATCAGAATAGCGATTTTTTTTTTAAAAAAAGGACAATTATTTTCATCGTATAATTAAAATAACTTGAACATTTTATAAAGAGTTGAGAAGAGGCTGTTTCAAAATTTAAATTAATTTTTACTAATTTAATTTCAAAAATGTAAATATTATAGCGAGGGCTCACACAAAGAGTGAAACCAATAAATTATTATTTGCGTTTAATTTTATTATGGCTTTTGTTTTCGCATTTGTTGCTTAATAAGAAAAATATATATTAGGCCAAGAGCGTTCAAGTACTAATGTTACAAGATAGCTAGCAAAAACCAAGCGTTCAGATGTCAATTCTATTCTATATTTCGAACATTTGCACTTTATAAAATTTATCGTCTTCTTTAATTTCGAATAAATTCCGATATTTTGAGGTAAGACGAATACATAATAAATTTTATTAAATGTTTAATATGGAAGGAATATATTGGTCATGAAAATAAATGTATAAAAGAATATAAATTATTTCTTTTTAAAATTTTGTTGAACACATTTGTTAGCTCAACGCTACACGTATTATTTTTTAATTCCGTCATTTTGATGCTGCGTTGAATCGCAAATAATGAATTTCAAATGACGCGATTACTTTAATATCGCCTCAATTAAAACAAGGCTACATACATACTTGTTTCTATCTCTTCTACCTTATATCGTATGCACCATTAGATGGCCTTTTAAGAATCGAATAATTAATTATAATTTTGATAATGAGCTTTTTGATAAACGCTAATAAGGCGATCTACGTCATTAAAAATTTTAATATTATTTTTCTCTTATGGGGGCTCAGTTAGATAAATATGCCACGGTCTATAGATTTGCGAAATAAATGTAAAACCGAGATAGAGCCCTCCTTTAAAATTTTTAGTAATCAGAACCTATTTTAAAATTTCCAAGACAAGATCCATTTTTGATCTCATGATCAATTTTTACCCAATAGTATTTATTTATTTTCTTCCCATTTACACAAATATATTGCCATAATATTCTTTTTACTTTTGATACTATAAAACCAACCGTTTTTCATAAAGTTTATTTTTAAATGCATACTAAAGAATTTGTAACTTTTTTAACTAAATTTTCTATCATACTATAATATTTGAAGCAGATAGTCTGTCAAGAATGTTGGAGAATCACAAATTTCTCCCTTATAATATTACACAAAAATATGCTAAGCAAAGCATCATAGGCGTAGCCAAGGGGGGGGCAAGGGGAAATTCCCCCCCCCTTCAGAAATTTATCACTTTTTGTAAATATCATTTTTAGCTAATAAAAAATATCCCCCCTTAGTCCTCCCCCCACTCCCTGACCCTCAAATATGTATGCTTAAAATATAAAAATGTAAAAGTTGATATTTTTTTATAAAACCATTCATCATAATTTATAAATTTTTGGGAAAATAAATTTATAAATATATAAAATGAACCAAAAATGTTTTTTAATAAATGGAATATAAGCCAAAGATAAGTCTTAAGACAGAAGTAAAATGTATTATAATTATTAATAATAGATCCATAAAATTAATAAATAATATAATATATCAAATATAATTTTTTATAAAGTGAGTAATTTTAATTTATTTATCTTAATAAAAGTTAAATATAATTTTAAAAGTATTGATAAAATTAAATCATAAATTAAAAAAATATTAAAGCACAATACAAACAGTGGAATATTAAATGTCGTAGATTTACAGTATATCTAATTATCAAATGACAATCAAGTAATTTTTACTTACATAGCGAATAATCTATTTTACAGATAACTATAAAATATTGATAAGGACATCAGAAAATATCTTTTAAAGACATTGTGGGATGAATAATATCAAAATTAAATTTAAATATCATTTTTCTTAAAATAAATAGATGGCGTTAAATAATTGGATGCAAATTGTTGCATATTTAATATCAAGAGCATTGATTAGTAAAATTTGTTAAATTATTAACTGTAATATATTCTCTAACTGTCAAATATGTCTGTAAAAGTGGAATTTTACCTAGTATTTTATAACTAATTCTAAATAATAGAGTAAAATCAACTATATGTCTACTTACTTTTTATAAATAAATTACTTATAATTGTTTGGAATAAATTATTACCATGCTTTTATATTAAGGTATATACAATACAAGTAATTTATTATATTTTTATTTTATATAAACTAATAAAAATATATTTCTTATAAACTAATAAAAATATATTTCATATTTGTTCCAGGCTTATATTAAAATTTGTAAAAATATTTATGACTATATAGACTAAAGTAACCTGGCCGAAGGCCGGGGAAAAGCGGACCGAAGGCCCGCCCATAAGGGGGTCTGGGGGCGAAGTCCCTAGTAATTTTTAATTCCCCCCCCCCCTTTATGAAAATCCTGGCTACGCCCATGCAAAGCATATTTTAACTTTTTCTACTCTATATCTATCAAATATGATTTATCCTTTAATAAAAAAGTATTATAAACAGAGTTAACTGCATTTTTTAAAATTCATATCATATCTCTAGTCCTTCTCATCTAGAAAAAAATAGATTTAGATCATTATTAAAAAATTACAAGTACCTATATAAAGCATAATGTGGAGCCTTTAAATATAAAGGGTTTAGTCATGTTCTCTTATTTTGTTGAGATTTTTTTAAATGTTTGGCACTACCTTTTATTTTAGTTAAAAATACCCTTGCTAGGTGAAGGGTTTATAGGGCGAAAAAAAAATCAAAAATAATATACGCAAAATTTAATTTACCAGATGGGGGATAAAATTTCCTTTTGGAAATGTGTCTATTTTCGTAAATATCAATTTAAGATTATAAAAAATGTATACAATATATCACTATATAAAAATTAGTAAGAGTGATAATTAATCATCGATTATAATTCTAATTTCTAGAAAAAAAACCATATTTATAATAAAAAAATGCTAAAAATAGGAGTCCGCTAATAAATATTTGGGAATTTTCTTATAATTTTATTATCAACATATCAATTACATATGAACTATATCAAAGTCGCTCATCAATAAAATACATCATAAAAACATCAATATCAAAAAATCCTTCTTTTTAAATAACTGTTTGGCTATTTATTAGTGCTGTAAACGTTACCTCAAAAAAGAAACGCTTTACCGTTACTCGTTACATTGGAAAAAAAAGAACGCGTTACCCTTACTCGTTACCTTTTTAAAAAAGTAACGTATTACTCGTTACTTAAAAAAATTAAATATTATATACAAAAATATATTTATTTTTTCTTACAATATATAATATAGACAAAACTATAAAAAATAATACATAAAATGATGAGATCTTATTATAAAAATTTTTCATATATAATATATAATCATAAGATAACATTTTTTTGTAATAATTTTTTATTTATTTTTAGCAATAATTGATTTTCAAAATTTTCATCAGACAAACAAGAGCGCTTAGTGCTCACTTCGCCGTGCTAAACACACGTTCAATTGGAGCAGAGGATGGGAGGGTGGTATTATATTTAATAAATATAAATTTTAACTCGGGGAATTTATTAAAAATATTTAAAGAAGTATCTTTATTTTGAAAAAAATTTAATAAAACATCTTCACAAGGATTTTCATTAATTTTCTCATCAAAAAAAAATTTATCTTTATCAGAAAATATTTTGGTATTTGTTTTGGATAAGGGAATCAGGTCTGCTCTTTCTCTATCAAGATCTTTTCTCAAAATGGAAATAAAATCTTGCATTCTTTGTTTATTCATCTCTGATTTTATCCAGGGCCAATCTAATTTAAAGAGTGGGTGAATCATTGCTGATAGTGTATAGGGTTAAATTTTCTTCATCAGAAGAATCAACTATTATAGAGTTTGGCATATATTCTTAAAATAAATTATAATATAGAATAATAATATTAATATATACTTTGAATTTTGATTAAATATTAGTTAGATTAAAATTTGATTGAAAATAACGAGCGAAAATTTAAATAAGAATGAAAGGAATGGTGATTGATATGAATTAAAAACTCGGTTTATTATTTATATTAAAAATAAACAAAAGTAATTTTATAGCACAATAAAATATGTTTTTTTTTTAAGAAAAAATTTGTAACGAGTAACGTTTTGCGTTACCGTTACCCAAAAAAAAAGAAACGCGTTACTCGTTACTTCTAGAAAAAGGTAACGTATGACGTTCCTTTTCTTCAAAAAAAGGTAACGACGTTAGTAACGCCGTTACTTTTTTGACGTTACCGTACAGCACTACTATTTATTAATCGATAAAATAAAATATAATCAATCATTAAGTTACGCAAAAAAAAAAAAAAATGAAATTTAACTTAAAGTGATAAAATAATAAAAAAATATAAATTTGTATAACGATAAAATAAAACGATAATATAAACTAATTTTTTTAGAAAACAAAATTTTTGTTATCGCCGTTAGGTATAAAATAAATATATTTGAAAGAAAACGAAAACTTAAAATCAATATTTCTAACAAGTAAAAACTCCAAATTTAATTACTGTCAAAGGCTTACAATAAGTAGACCTAAAGACAGTAAAATTAATAGGGAAAAACCTTACCAACTACGCCTATGGCAAACCCCTTACCTAGCAAGGGTAGTTTTTTTTTAAATCACAAATTGCAAATACAATTAAATGTAGTTGAAGATATTTATTTATTTAATACATTATAAAATTGATATATCATATAAGTAATATGTTTTACAAATATTTTTTAAATAATTTCTACAGAGTTGGATATAGGAGATATACATATATAACTTGCTAAACATACTTAATCAAAATAATGGAAATTTTCTGAATCACCTCTCATCAAAATATGGGAACATTTCTTATTCATAAATAAAGAGAAAATATCTGATTCATCCG